TCAGGCTTCCCGACTCTCAGGGGATGCGGTTGGCTGATGCTTTCTTAGGACTCGAACGCCTCCAAAATGGGTTTTCGTTCTTCCCTTTGGTTTCCCTTGACCCCTCCCCTCCCACCCCAAAAAAGAACAAATCAATCAAGAAACGCACAAAGCAGAACAACCAGAAAAACCGCATCCAAAAAAGGGGGTGTGTGGTTCCCCTTAATCCCCCCCCTTCCCCCCCACCCCTTCCCCACGCCTCGACGGGTTGCGAGTCTCGTAGGTGTCAGCTTCGGCGAGCGGATCCGCACCGGAAGGCGCTCGACCCGGGGGAGAGACGGCTCCAAAACGGTGGCCAAAGCGGTATGAAGATCATGTCCAAGACAACATGTTTGTCTTTTTCTGCTTTTGCTCTCTTTTTTTTTGGTATGTGTGTGTGTGTTGCAGAAATCCATCTCGTATTGCATTTTTTTCTGTGTTGCAGAATGAAGCATAAGAATCACAAGGTTTTTGTGAGGTGTTTTTTTTCTCCTCGGTTCGTTTCAGTTGCTTAAAGCCGCAACTAAAAGGGGGTCACTTCCCGTCAGCTTGCACCATCTCCAGCTAGCATTTTTGGAAGGTAGTTCAAGTAACTCCCTGGTTTCATGAGGGTTCTACTAAGGCCAATGCAAGCCTTCACCACGTTGCTGGAATCTGTGCGTGAAGTGTCGAGGGGATAGGCTCACACACGAGCTTTGCAGTGGGCAAGTCAAACATGGCACCCGCTACAGATGGGCCCGCTTTTGAATCGGGCACCCCCTTTGGCAGACTAGAAGGTTGGTCCCCATTAAATTTCATTGCCGTGTGTTTTGCTTTGTTTATGTCATGAGCCAACTCAATTCCAAGGCTGGGGTCGTTGTGACTTCCACATTGAGCCAGGAAGGAAAGCGAGGCTTTGGCGGCAAGCACTGAATGGCTCAGTTCTGATGTGTCATGCTTTATTTCTGGTGAAGCTAATGTCAGTCACTTGAGCCACAATCGAAAGGTCGGTGGGAGGAAGTCCGAATCAGGGCTGTTCCGATGCGGAAATTATTTGCTTTATTTGAGGTGCCGCTGCTAGTGACGCGAAGGTTGCCGATTTTAGAGCCAGGTACGACTACATCTACCAGCTGAACTGGCCCGGCCCTCGGCCCTACCAGCCTGGCGCCGAAATCCACGAAGGCGATGCGTGAGTTGGGTTTGTTCGTCGATCCCATGCTAGGTTGGGCTCGAAAAAGGCGGCATGAGCGGTCTTTTGGATCAAACAAGGCTTGGGGAAGGCCCTGTTTGAATGTGGGGCTGAGAGTTGGGGCGGGTAAGCGCACCCAGAGTCACAAGAATTGAGGGGGACGCGGACCCGGAAGTGCATGTTTCGTTCTTGCCCCACCGGAGCAAGAAAGTCGGCTCCTTTTGGCTTGAAAACCAACCAAAAGGAGTGTAAATTCCGATGTTTCAGGGTGCCCTAGTGCGATGTTGATGGGAGGACGGGTAGGGCCCCTTACGAAACAAGAACGGGCTTTTGTGGTTCAATAGCACCCAACATGGTTCGGACATGACATAAGGGCCTACCAGAATCCAAGCAGATGGGACATGGCATACATCCAACCACATGGTTGGCTGGTCCCTAGGATATGGACCCCCCCCCCCCCGAAAACATGGGAGGTGGCGTTTGTCTTGTTTCCTGAAAAACACCAGCCCCAAAAAGATCCGTGCTGTGCCGATGCCTCCAAAAAAGAAAACATTTATGTTTGTCTCACTGATTTCTGGAGACCCGGGTGATTGGGAGGGGACAGTTCTTTGCCGACATCTCCAGTGCTCCATAAATATAAAGTCCCTACAAGGAACAAGGGGGGCGCTCCCGAAGGCTCCTGAGAGAAGGAATACTAGGGCTCTCAACTACCCACCCCCCTTGTACCTACCCTCTTAGGGATTCCAGAATCTGTGGCTCATGGCGGGGTTTCGGGGACTCTCTGAACTTCAACCACAAAAAGGTGCTTGACCACAGAGAGTATGTATACTGTGGCCATGGATTTGTGACATTGTGTAGCCTGCTTTTGTACTACTCGACGTTTTTTGTTTTTTTAATCCTGAAGGAACTGAGCCATTCAACTGACGTTTTCCTTTATCCTTTATTGTGTAATTCTACTGAGAACCACTGGGACCGGAGAAGAGCGTTCAAACTAAGCCATATAGGCATGTGTCCAAATAGTGCCGAGGGGGGGGGGGGGACCTGGGTTTTCCTTTGTGTTTCCCTATTAAACCATGGTGAGAAAAGCAAAACCAAGAAACACATCACACACACAGTCCCTCATTGTCTGGGACAGAGACCATTTGGGAAGTTCTCCACGTTCTCCACATTGGGAACTGGAAGTGGGGAACTAGAAGTTGGGAAATGGACAGAGACCATGTTCTTTGAACCATTTGGGAGATGGAAGTTCTCGTTCTCCAGGCAACACGGGCTTCTACTTCGCCTCGCTGCGGCGCAAGCCGGAACCCACGCGGACTCTCTGGCAGGCGGTGCTGAAGGCGAATTGGTGTCACCGCCGTCGTGGAGTTTGGGGACCAATTTCCGTGGTAAATGACAACCGAACCCAACACAGCTCAACAGCCCAACAGCCCATACCCTAAACCCAACAGCCAATTATCCAACAGCCCAAACAGCAGAACTACCCAACAGCCCAACAGAACAACAAATGGGTGTGTTTTTTCCCTTTTGGCTTCGGTTTTCCTACTGGTTTCCTTTTGAAGACCACCAAACAAGTGGGATGTTAAACGACTCTTTCCTGCGTGTGCTCGGACATTGTGCCCCTTTTGGGACGCACAGGCCCCGGCCCAGTTCTCTGAAAGGGAATGACACGAGCAAGCCTGAATTGCTGCCTTTCGGCCTCTTTCTGTGTCCAGTTCAGTAAGACTCCGTGCTTGAGTCCGATCTTCTCTTTTTGTGTCTGTCTTTGAGTGCGGGTTTGGGGAATGAACCAGGGATTCCCTCAAAGGAAATCATAGGGGATGGTTTATAGGGGTCATCCGTTTTTCCTTTGTTGCTGGTTCGATTGGCCTGACCCGAAAACAACCATCCCTGATTGGTTTCCTTGTAAGGGAATTCCCAACCGCTTCATTCCCAACACGCGGAAGGTCATTCCCTACCGAGCGCCAGCAAGCTTTCTTTTTTTCTGAGGCTTGATCTGGCGAAGTCGCTCTCTCGAAGTAAGAAATCCTCTAAATGGCCCGAGCTACATGGAGTGTGAGTTTTTTTTTTGGCGGGGCTTCCCACCGAGCCGCACAAGTGAGTCGAGAGCGAGAACGTTCCCTCAAACAACAACCATCACTGGAGGATTTTTCACTACCCCCAAACCACCCAACTTGCTGGTGCTCAGCAGGAAATGAGGGAATGACCCCTGTAAGCCATCTCTTGTTGAGGGAATCCCTGGGTGCATTCCATTTCGCATTCCCTACTGAGCACCAGCAAGAAATAGAGGTCTTTCATTTACCAGGGAAACCCATCTATTTTTCCATAAGGCCACCTACGACTGGAGGATTTTTTTTCACCAACCCCAAACCACCCTCGCGGTTGGTGTCGAGGCGTGCAGCCGGAACCCGCAGCTGGACGGCCAGCCGAACTTTTGGAACGCCCTGCGAGGTCTGCGGCAAGAGAGGAAGCCCTGCTTTCGCGTGTGCCAGGCGCGGCTTAGAATAGGGGCCGTAGGGTGGCTCAGAAAGAGGGACCCCGCACAAAGTGGGTGGTCTGGTTTTTGGGTTTTCCTTTAAAACCAACCCGAAAAGGCACCCTCAAAAAAGCCAAAAAAGCACCAAACCGGTGTAGATCCCGAGACCGGAAGCAAATGCGGCGTCGGCATCGTGGAAGTCTGGGCCCAGGAGTTGTTGCGAGCTTTCAACTGTCAAAGTCTGGACACTGGTCTCATTCACCAAAAATTCTACCACTTTCCTCTGCTGCCCAAAGCCGACCTTTTGACCTTTTGGTTTCTCCTTTTTGGTCTAGTTGTAGTCATGGCTCCAAAAGGTTAACCTTTTATTCCTGGGTCCTTTGGGCAAGTGAGTTTCGGGTCGGGGGGGGGTGCTTTGGTAAACTCAGCGAGCTGCGCAGGAGCAGCAGATGTGCAACGGCACCGCAGAGGACAGGGGCCGGCGTGGGCTGTGATTTGAAAGGTGAAGGGTTGCCCCGAGCCGCTGCTTTTCGAGCAGAGGCAAGAGAATTCAGGGGCGATGTTGCAGTACTTTGCCCAAGTCTCGGCAGTGAGCTGGGGTTGATAGGCACGATTGGCCCTGCTTTATGTTTTGGCCATTGCTAATCAGAGCGCACGCCTTATGCGCGGCGTATTTTGCCACGCGGTTAATGGGAAACAAAAGGAACCCCGCCAAGCGGGTTCCGGCAAACAATCTGCAAACCCCGACTCCGCATTTGCCTGGGTCGCAGATTGTCAGAGGCAGAGATTCTGGACTACTGCGAAATGGACCCGTTCCGCCATCGCACTGGCTGGGGCAAGCGAGACAAGGATGGGCCAGCACCTTGACCTGTGAAGCTCTCACAAGGGCGAGCGTGGGGTGCCCTGAAGTACCCGAAATTCGTGGCGGTTTGGGGGCTTGACACGGGGTCACAAGGCGTCACAAGGGGCAAGCAAGATCACGACTGCCGCTGCGCAGCACATTGGATGAGCATGGGTTGAACTCTTACGAACATCAGGGTTCCTATATTTCCCCCTTTGGTGGTTTAAAACGTCCCCTTTAAACGTCCCTTTGTGGTTCCTTTGGACGGGGTGATGTTTACAAGGGATAGGTACCCCTGAAAGTAGCTGCGGAGCTGCGGAGTGGCTTCACTGCTTGGCGTGCGCCCTGCAAAACCCCTGTGGCCCTTTGATCGGTTTCCGGGCTTGTTTGAGGTCTCCTGACCCCTTGGCTGTTTGCATTGGCGGTTTGGAGGTGTTCTGGGTGGCTTCAAAAGGAAGTGGAACCAGCTCATGGGCCCCTTCCTTCCTTCCTTCCTTCCTTCCTTCCTTCCTTCCTTCCTGATGGCGCTGTTCCTAAAAGCAAACCGACAATGGGAACAGGAGCAACCGCCGGCTCGACGTCTGAGGTCTCCTACCACGCCAACTTCAAGGTGGGCCGCGCGAGCAAGATCTCGGCGCTGAAGGGCATGGGCCTCTGGCGTCCAACGGAGCGAGCTTCTCGCGGTGACGGGTGAGCCACCCCCGAAACAGTGGGGGACGGGGGAATGAAAGGGTAGCAAGGAATTCCCCCCTTCTTTTAGGGATCCGGTTCCCCGTCTTTTTGATTTTTGCGCGTGCTCTTACTACTTTCAGGCAACCCTGAAGGGATCGGAACCAATGTAAATTAGAGATCCCTTCTTAACCACCAAACCACCAATCCAAACCACCAAAGTGGGGAAGCTGGCTAAAGGCAAAACGCTCCAACCTGTCTAGGAGGAGGCGTGGTGCGCTGGCTGAGCAATGCTGAAGGATCCGTTCAGCGAACTTTCTTCTCGACTGGACACGTCGCCCTGGCGGATCGACGGCGAACGGACAGCAACTGGACGGAGATGAAGGGAGCGACGCGTGCCTGGGCCAGGTGGGGAGAGCACGGTGGCCATGAATTTCAAGAAGGAAGTAGCTGGTGGGCATGAACCCACCCACAAATGATGAAATGTCCACGAAAGGGTCCCCAAGTAAAACTCACGTGCGCGTGACGTTTGGCAAGGCAGGGACTGAGGGCTTCACAGTTGGCAGCATTGAATCAGAAGTATCGCTTGGCTTTGGTACCCAGGCCCTGAGACGGTCAATCAATTTTTGGGGATTCACCTGCTATCTAGACTTAGAACATGGACGGTGCCATGTGTGAGCGCGTTTCTCGTTGGGGCGCAAGGATGGATCCCTGTGCGACTTCAGCTCCTCTCCAGACGGAGAGCGGCTCCGCTCTCGCCTTCGGCTAGTCTGAGCACGGTGTTGCGGCGTCGGAGGAAGAAACACGGAGAGTGCCGCTGGCTGTTCTGGTCAGTTTGGGAGGGACACTAGGGGGAGGCGCTATATTGCTAACCACACAAACACACAGACACACAGACGCAGAGATACAGAGAGACAAAGACATAGAGACACAGCACAGCACACACACACACACATAGATACACAGACACGCGGACACACAAACACACAGACACAGAGACGCAGAGATACAGAGAGACAAAGACACAGAGATACAGCACAGCACACACACACACATAGATACACAGACACACGGACACACAGACACAGGCGCACGATTACACAGGCCACAGACACACACACACACACAGACGCGCACACACCCACACACACACATACAATATGCGCGCACAACACACACACACAAACACACAAACACACACAAACACACAAACACACAAACACACAAACACACAAACACACAAACACACAAACACACAAACACACAAACACACAAACACACAAACACACAAACACACAAGCACACAAGCACACAAGCACACAAACACACAAACACACAAACACACAAACACACAAACACACAAACCCACAAACACACAAACACAAACACACAATCACACACACACAATCACAAACAGACAAACACACAAACACGCAAACACACAAACACACAACCGCACAACCACACAAGCACACAAACAAACACACACACACACAAACACACAATCACATACGCACAATCACAAACAGACAACCACACAAACACGCAAACACACAAACACACAACCGCACAACCACACAAGCACACAAACACACACACACAAACACACAAACACACACACACACACACACACACACACACACACACACACACACACACACACACACACACACACACACACACACACACACACACACACACACACACACACACACACACACACACACACACACACACACACACACACACACACACACACACACACAACACACACACCACACACACACACACACACACACACACACACACACACACACACACACACACACACACACACACACACACACACACACACACACACACACACACACACACACACACACACACACACACACACACACACACACACACAAACACACACACCCACACACCCACACACCCACACACCCACACACCCACACACCCACACACCCACACACCCACACACCCACACACCCACACACCCACACACCCACACACCCACACACCCACACACACAAACACACAAACACACAAACACACAA